CTTTTCTTTGATCATTAATACTTTGCACTCTCTGGGTTCGATTTTCGTTTTCTATTCTTGAGCAGGCGCGTCAAAGGGCAGCTTCTGGGGATGTCGATGAGATTGGCCTGTGGGTGGGAGCGGCAGTCTCTTGGTGTGAAACGACCTTCATCGCTTACTCGTCTCGATATGGTGAAGGTGTTCCTGAGGCATGCCTCGAGGGACGGGATCTCAGATGGTACTGGCGACAAGCAGGGGCACGACCATGGTTTATCGGCTACTGGCAAGACAACATGTCCATTCGAGGGCATCAGCCTGTTGGTCGACTATGGGAGCGTTGAGGACAATTTCTACCTGCTCAACCATATGGTAGAAGCACGCATCAAGGCCACGACATCTGACAACTCTTGACCGCCTCTGTTTATCGTTTCTGAACTCCGACGTCGCGTATGTGGCGTCTGGAAGGCCCCTCGGGACCAACGACAAGTACACGGCCGAAGCTGCATAGCATGGCAAAGGCTCCAGTCAAGATTAACACGCCTAGCCTAGTAGGTCATATAGTTTGCAATGAAATTTCTTCATGTCTTTCCTTATACACTCTATCTTTACACAGCCGCCAGTGACCATGTCTGACCCGTTGCCTTGTAAATGCGTACCTAAGTACGGTACATGTAGGTAGTCGCGTGCGTGGGCCTGGAGTTGCACGAGGCCATCTTGGTCACATGGTGCCTAGCGGGCGTGGCGAGTCCCGGCAGCGCCTGGGCCAGTACCTGGAGCCACCGCTAGCACCACCTGCAGCTTGCACCGCCTACCGACCTCAACTGATAGTCACCCAGTTAGTACAACCCAAAGCCCGCCGAGCAAGCAGTCGAGGCAGCCTCGCAGGACCTTTGCGAGCACGCACTGCCCTCAGCTGACCTGGCGGAAATCGACTTTGAAATGCCTGTTTCCTTTCCAGTACGAAAGGATATGCTGACGCAGAGTCATAACCGGCAATTCGAGTCTGGCGAGCAAAGGTGACTGCAGTGGGCAAGGCAAGGTCAGTTGCATGATGACTGCGAAAAAAAGAAGGTACATGGCGGGCTGGTATCTGTTGGCCACACGGAATGCCTACCGGCGTTGGGTGCCGCGGGCTGCAGCCGCCGGGGCGCGACGATTGGATACCTGAGGACGAGGTACTTGGCCCCCCAGCTGAACAAAGATGCATGGGCGTGGGGATTATGGGGGACGATGTACATGTAGGCAACATACCAGTGGGAGGTATATTAGGAGGGCTGTGTCTGCAGGAGGCATCGACGAACGGGCTCTTTGTCTTTTTGCCGTTTCTATGCTTCTCCAGGTTTTCCTTTGACTGACTGGACTTGTTCTTTGTTCTCCCTTTGGACGTACGTCCTTTTGTAGGTCTCTTTGTTCCGGAACACGGTGCTTTTTGAGCGCAGATTTGCACAGTGCCTGGCCTGGCCTAGAAAAACCACGACTACCTCACTATAAAGCCCCCCTACGCAGGGAAACCTGAAGCGCTCGCTATTCAAAAGGACTGCCTAGACCCCTCGTCTTCCGTGTCTCGAACCACAGCGCAGCCGGGAGTCGCGGCGACGACCAGACAATGACGACTCCGACGCTGGACCTGCTGGTCCTGACGTTCAACTGCGCCGCAAAGCTCGTCAACGTGCCCGAGTTCGCTCGCCATCTGCGGACAGCGCTGGAGCGGGATGCGGCGGATCTGCCCGAGGTGGTTGTGCTGTAAGTTTTGGGGGGGTTTTGGTTTGCCTCATTCGCAAAGGACAGCACTTCTTCTTCTTCTTACCCCCTGTCGTTCTTCTCGTCCCGTTAGGGCTTATTTGAATGTTGTTCTGTCGTTCCCGTTCCAAGGGGATTCATGATGTCGGGTATATGGGCTCATTTGTTGTCAAAGGTCGTTACAAGAGGTGGCCCCCCTAAAGTATGCCTTCATTGGGGATTACTTCCTCAAGCAATATCTTGAGCGGTTTGGAGAGGCGCTCAATCTCGCCGCCTCACGGCATTCGCAGACGGGATATGATGAAGACGCCTCAGCTACTGCTTCTTCCACCTCTGCCCTCCCTCTCGCTCACACATCACGGTCAGGTCGAGGCAAGAACCACTTCACGCTCATCAGGGCCCTCAACGTGGGATACACGGCCATCATGCTCTTTGCCAGGCACCCGGACCGGCTGAGCAACATCCAGCAGGCCGAGGTGGGCTTCGGCGCCGCCGAGATGGGCAACAAGGGGGCCGTCGGCCTGAGGGCGCTGTACGAGGCGGGCGGCGGCGAGTCGACGGAGCTGACGTTTGTGGCGACGCACCTGGCGGCCATGGAGTGGAACCTGCCGCGGAGGAACGCCAACTGGGGGGCCATCATGCGCGGCCTGACCTTTGAGAACCCGGAGGAGGTGCTGAGCCGGATGAGGAGGGACGCCGCGTCGAGGAGCGAGAGCCTGTCGGCATCCGAGGAAGGGGATGCCTCCGAGCAGGCGCGCCTGCTCCGGGAAGAGCACCACGAGCAGGACCTCCGGCTGCAGCAGCAGTTCCACAACCTGTCCGTCTTCAAGCCGTCGTCGCACCTGTTTGTCGCCGGAGACCTCAACTACCGCATCTCGACCACCTCCCCGACGCCTTACTCGGCGTTTCCCAACCTGGACCCGGGGTCTGAGAACTACTACACACACTTTCTGCATCTGGACCAGCTGACTCGCGAGCGACTGGCCGGCCGGACCCTCCACGGCATGTCGGAGTGCCCGGTGACGTTCCCGCCGACGTACAAGTACGTCGTGGACCCGAAGACGCCTCCCGCCGGCGACGATATCGACGGACCCGTCGACGAGGTCAAGTGGGTGTTTGCTCCGCACCGGTACCCCGGCTGGACAGACCGCATTCTCTTCCTCGAGCTGCCCCCGTGGGTTGATGCCAAGATGAGGGTCCGCGCCTACGACGCCCTGCCCGTGATGCGGACCAGCGACCACCGGCCCGTGTTCCTGCGCGTGGACGTGCCCCTGGTCTCGCCCGCCGAGCTCGCGCCCCCGGCCGCCGTCCGAGAGTCTGCTGCCGTCGCCGGCGGATCCGCCTCGCCGGGGGGCAGCAGCAGCGGCGGCGTTGATCCCCGCGTGCGGCTGCCGGTGGAGATTGACCCGGAGGCCTGGGAGCGCCGGGTGGCTGCCCGGAGGCGCGAGATCGCCGCCGGATGGGCCATGTTCCTCTGGAGCACGAGGCAGGGGGCGTTGATCCTGGGTACGCTGCTGGCGGCGACGGCGGGGGGGTACTGGCTTTACCAGCGATCTTCTGCTTGAGTTCGTTGGGGGGCAGGGAGCTCACGGCGATGCCTGGTTGACTTGGGAATTTTGCATTAACTTGTACATGAGATGGGCTGGAGCATAGATTGGAGGGGGGATCGGGTTAGACGCGTGCTGGCGTTGTGTGACAGTTATTTCTGCTCAACTCTTGTCGTTTATGTTTGTCTTCCATGTTCCTCTTTTACTTTTTTGTCTCTGATGTTTCCTGTTTAAGGCTCTGGGAGTAATGTACTTAATGTGCGGGTATGGGTTCTCTGACTCTATATACCTTTACCTTAATGATTGTCATGATGGCTCTTGGGGGTTTCGGACTGGTAGATACCCAGTAGATGATTGATATCCTAATATATATATATACATACACACACACACATGCACACTGATCGATCTCATCAAGGGCCAATTACATGCATTACTGCTTCACATTGTGCTGTGGGATATATGAATTTCATACACAAGCAAGCAAACTGACTAGATGTATCCGTTCTTACTGCGGTAACACGCGTCTTCATATCTCACCTTGGAAATGTCACTTTACCTCTTCTTTCGTTCTCTTTGGGCCTTGTTCTCTTCTTCTTCTCCCCCCTTCCTTTGTTTAACTTCATTACACTTGTTTTTCATTTTTATTCATTTTTTATTTCATTCAACAGCTTATGAACTCAGCAGCCATCGACGTTACTCTCATTCCTTTCGAATTCCCCCACCTTCTTCCCCTTCTTCCGAGGAAAGGGGGTGGCTAAACAACGTCCTGAAAGCACAGACTTTGGTTGTGCACTGTAGCCTTTGAGAATCGTCCAAGGGAAAAAGGAGGTTGCGGGAGGGGGTAAATCGAAAACTACATTGTAGAGCGCCGCACGCTTAATGGGACTATATACCGACAAAGTGATGGGCGACCATATCGCAGAAGAAGGGGCGGAAAAGGAAAACCAGCGAATTGCCGAATACACCCTCTCTCTGGCCGCGTACAATAAGAGCGGGGGGGGGGGGAAAGTAAAGCAGCGCCTTTATTAACAAATAGATAACAAGAAACATCAGGCAATATGCTAGGAGGAAGACGTCCAAGGACTTATTATACCGGCATATACTAAAACCGTCTGTTGCTGGGCAATGTAAGGAAGGGGGGCCCCATCAGGGCAGCCACTTCGTTTTCTGTTTCAAAAGTCTTCAAAGTAGCGGTCGTACTTGTTCGCCATCTCGACGGTGTACGTGGTGCTGCTG